CATGAGACGTTCTCCCTTCAGATCTTATGTGATTCACATGATCTACTGAATGTGCAGAGTCTCCCACAGTGAATGGGCTGGGGTTTACGGAAACTGCCCCCTCCACCTCCTGAAGGGCTCCACTGACCACTGACCAGTGCTGCTACCACACCAGAGGCTGCTCCTTCTTTCTTGTACTGCTCCTGCATGCCTAGGTCTGCCTCAGCCATGGCTCCGCTGTAAAACTCTCAGTCTCACCCACCCAAACACAAAAGCTCTTGCACATGCATATGCATACATACCAATACATGTGAACACTATACACTAGCAGATATATACAAACAATGTTCACCCCCAACACACATCCTTATGCACCTTCCAAACACTATGCATGTTTGTGCATTCAAACATGTTCATGCAATCATAAATTCTCACACACATTCGTTCTCAGAGGCACAGGTGTATACTTAAACACAAGCAACAGACACACAAGCACATGTATGCTTACCCAACTCAACACAGGCATATTCTCTCACACTCAGCATGCACACACTCACAGGTTCATACTCACATTTGCATGCATGAACACTGGCACACACATGCAGGGACACACAAATTCCTGTACACACTATGATCAAGCTCACACTAGCCTGTACTGAAGCACAGTGCACACATGTGAAAACAAGCATGCACACATACACACACATACACCTGACTCCTCTTCTGGATCCCTCATTCAGTCACCTGTCATTTCTGCTTCTGAATGAGGCCTTTCTTTAGCAGCCAGGGCAAGCATCCCTCCTCTACAACCTCCTCCATACCGTTTCCAACCTTCCAAATACCTCAACCCTTTAATACAGCTCCTTGTGTTGTGGTGACCCCCAACCATAAGATTATTTTATTGCTCCTTCATAACTGTAATTTTGATACTGTTATGAATCACAATGTAAATATCTGATACGTGGGGGGCCATGACCCACAGGTTGAGAACCACTAATAGGACGTATCAAAAAACCATCTTTTGCCTGACACGGTCTGTGTCCCACTCTAAGCTCCTATCTCTGGGAGCCAGCCCTGTCTGCAAGATAGTTTGTGGGAAATAGGCCACTTGACAACTCAGTGCAGTGATGATGGGCACAGGATGCTGATGGAGTGCATAGGATTTCACACTTCCACACGAGGGTGTCCATGGCTGGGCAAGCTCATCACACGGGCAAAAGGCTGGTTCCTTCATGGGAAGATGCTCAGAAACCATTCTGTGGAGAACCCACTGATGGACCACTGTGCTGGGTGTATAGCTTTTCACAGCTCTGCTAACTGCTCTCCCTCACATCCTCATAGCAGGGACAGCCAATGGGTGACCTTCATCAGTCCTTGTCTCTTTTTTCCCTGCTTGGCTTGGAGGACGGTATGACATGCACAGGTAGCTGTCTCTAATCTCAGGACATACTCCCCTGCATCCCAGAGTCTAATCCGTCACTATGCTCTGACCCCCAGGATCAGGTTCAGGTTCAGAAGGAAGCCACCTTCAGGCTTAAAACACTTAAACTCTCTCCCTCTTTCCTCCTCTTCCCTCACCCTCGCATTTGCATGGAGCAAACGAAGCTTTTAGTCTCGGTGGTTGAGGCAAATGCATTTAAAAGATGAACATTTTAGTTAATGTTCTAAGAAGATTTCCAAAAGCAGTTTTGATTGTGGACTATTAGCATTAATTAATTTCCAGACGGGGACCAGCCATTCTCTTGGGGGAATGCATATTTTAATCAAATTCTCCCTGCTGCTCTGTGCTTGGTGGAGTTAGTGCAATGTGCCTTGTCCTCCCATCCCTTTTCTTAACTTGGTGCAGCACGCCAGGCCCAGGCTTGTGAGTACAAGCTCCAGGCTTCAGGGTCAGGGCCCAGGGTGACCACTGGCCAGAGAGGGCAGGAAGTGCTCCTGGGAGCCCAGTGAGTTATCTTGGAAGCAGAGTACCTGCTTCCACCCGGAGCCTGAAAAGGGATGGTGGACAGTTAGTGACTATGCCATCCCTCACCCGAGGACAATGTGGTCCAAATTTGACAGGGAAACAAAGGTCATTTCTTGTTCAAGTGTTACTCTGTGTTGCTACTCTGTGTCGTACTTGTCAGATGTGATCTCCATTTTAATAAGTAGACTGAGTAGAGTGAACAGTGTAAAGGAGGTAAAGCCGTTGACCATTCTCCCCGTATTCTTGTCCGTCAGAGATAAAACTTGAAATGGTGAGACTTCAGCCATGCAGAGTCTGAGTTAAAGAAACACTCTTTCTTCTCCTATACAACAAACTGCTGTGTTCTCTGTAACAACATTTGAGAGTAGTGGTAGAGGTGATGGTGATGGAATGTGGATAATGGTGGTAGTGGACAATAGTGGGAATGACTGTCAGTGCTGCGGTGATGATGGTGGTGGTGGTGGTGTTCATAATGATGGCGATGTGGCATTGATGGTAATGGTATTGATTAATAGTGCTGTGGTAGTGGTGATGATGACAGTGGTGTTGGTGATGGTCATAATGGTGGTGATGGTGGTGATAATTATGGATATGTGGTGTTAATGATAGTGACAGTGATTGATGGCACTGTGGTGGTAACGATGGTGGTGGTGGTGGTGGTGGTGATGGTAACAGTGGTGATGATAATAGTAATAGTGGTAGTAATTGGTGGTGCTGTTGTAGTGATGATGATAGTGATGGTGGTTGTCTTAATTACTTTTCCATTGCTGTGATAAAATACAAGGACTAAGGCAACTGTAAAATAAAGCATTTTATTTAGCTCATGTTTTCAAAGGGTTAGAGTCCATGGAGGTAGAGCAAAGGAACAGCTGGAAGCTCACATCTTGATCCACAACCATGAGGCATAGAGGAACAAGGACTGGGAATCACCGAGTCTTCTGAAACCTCAAAGCCCACCCTCAGGGATACAACCCCTCCAGCAAGGCCATACTCTTTAACACTTCCCAAACAGTTCCACTAACTAGGGACCAAGTATTCAAATATACAAGCCTAGGGAGGCCAATCTCATTCAAATCACCACAGTGGTGGTGATTATTGTGGTGACAATGATGCTGGTGGTGGTGGTGGTAATGGTTATGGCTGTATCTGAAGGTAGTGTGTCAAATACACAGCAACTCAAAACAGACTGAGCTACCCTGGGACAATTGCTGCCCTCTTCCTCATATGTGAAGGGTATGGACTTATGGTCACTTCAGAATTCCACTTATATTAACCTTAAGGAATATTTTTCCCATACAGAGCTCTTTTATTAGTAGTATGAAAGCATCTTGACATATACACAAGGAATGGCAGGGTGCCAGTGTGTCACAATGGACCATCTATAGTAAAAATATCTGAAAATGAACTCATGCTGATGCACCAGCCAATAAGTTATGATCAAATTCAGGCACATACCCTTTCTACTGGGTCCGGTACAGCCAACTTATCTCACAATGGATTTGAATCTTGAGGCACGCTTCTGCTTTTCAAATTCATGCCCCCTCCTTTGCTCCCCTTTTAGAAAATCATAAGCCTGGGGTGGGGTAGGGTGGGGGTGATGGAAGGTGGTAGATAGAGTCAGGAACCTTGGCTAGAGTCACATTACAGCTAGCTCACAGGTGGACACCACACAGCATTCCCTCTTTTCTCTATACCTCTGTTTCCTCATTTACTAAGAAGATAATCAACTCAAAATCTCTAACAACTTCCTCAGTTCTAGCAAACTGGCTTTAAAAGCAGACTTTCCCTCCCAAAACTCAGATGGTGAGCAGAGTTCCTACATGTAATTTGTGCTTTATCTTTTATCCCTAAAATTCATGTAAACACATTGCCATTATCCCATTGTTATATTTTCAAAAACATCATAGTTATTGACACAAAGTAGTATAGTCCTTGAAGTAAGTCAAGATTTGATTAATGAGCCCTAATTATTAGATACTTTGTTCTCTTGTAGACCCTCTAGGACAATAGTTCTCAACCTTCCTAATGTTGCGACCCTTTAATATAGTTCTTCATGTTGTGGTGACCCCCACCATAAAGTTATTTTTGTTGCTACTTCATAACTGTAATTTGGTTACTGTAATGAATTATAATATAAATATCTGTGTTTTCTGATGGTCTCAGTAGACCCCTGTGAAGGTGTTGTTTGACCCCCAAGGGGTTGAGAGCCACAGGTTAAGAACTGCTGTTCTAGAGGGAGTCACCTGACTTAAAAATAAATCTCCTTTCCCTAAAAGGGTCTCATCCCAACACTTACAATGCAGAGTCTTCTAGTTCCTTGTTTGTTTCCTGCTTATAGCTGGCTGGTCCCCAGGGGCAAATACCTGTATTTAGGTGCATTGGTCTATTGCTCTTTGAATGGGGACTCTAAGATGTACTAGTCCCTCAGTCAATCAGGAGGACACAGTGGAAGATGAAGAACTATGATTGGCTATCACAGCAGCACCATTGAAGTATCCTTGAAATCACAGTGATAGAAAAGCCGCAGTCTACATCCTCAAACCACATGACCTAAGCAAGCATGTCAGAGAGGTGGAAGGATCACTTACCAAGAACAAAATCTAAAATAGGAGGTGAACAGCAGAGTAGAAATTTGATTATCCTCCTAAATCTTTGACAAACAAAATTGGAATGAAACTTCCTTAGTTCAATTCTCAGGACCTTCATGGCTATCGTATGGGTGATGTTTAATGTCTCTGCACCCAGGAGAAGAGGTGGGTGAAATATTTCCTTCACTTTACCAGTGGTCCTGCCATAGGAGCCCCTTGCTCTCACCAAACCCAATTGCCTCCATACCTCATGCTTAAAAGCAGTGGTTCTCAACATGTGGGTCATGACCCCTTGGCACACGTGGGAGGGTGTCAAAAGACCCTTTCACCGGGGTTGCCTAACACCATCAGAAAACACAGATATCTGCATTATGATTCATAACAGTAGCAAAAATACAGTTATGAAATAGCAATTAAAAAATTTTATGGTTGAGGGTCACCACAGCATGAGGAATTGTATTAAAGGGTCATAGCACTAAGAAGGTTGAGAACTACTAATCTAGAATATGCTCTTCTGCCACTCTCTTCCTGACTGCCTATGGAGTTGCTATGGATTTTCTGTCTGTTTCACCGCCAGACACCTAGAAAGATTCTCACAGTTCCCTGGACTCTAAGCCCCTCAGACTTCAGTGGGCTCCAGACAGGTGCTCATGTCCTCTCATCCTAGGCTCTCACCACCCAACAGAGGCTAACTACCCTTGTGATGGATGACCATTGGTTAGTAGGGTCCTGCCTTCATCCTGCTGGAAGGGAGTGGGAACTGTGGACAAGCAAGTAGGTGTCTCATCCCTGCCCCAGAAGCCGACTGGCAGTCGGGTCTCTCCAGCACGTAGTAAGCCCTCTCCCTGGAATTGGTGGCTGGGAGTAGGCTAGATAAATGGCATTCTCCAGGGTACCTCTTTATCTGATGGAAGCAAAGCAAAGTTGGCTACAGGATTCGGCTCTGTGTTATGAGATAGCAGCCTTTGATGGGAAATAAAAGCCACATCAAATGGGCCTTTCGACTGCATCTGAATACTTGGGCTTAATATTTATACCTTAAAGTTTGTAGGCTGGTCAAAGCATCGGCGTGTGCTTTGGAAGAGTCTTCTTTTTTAATATAAGATGGAGAATATTTTATTTCCTAGTTAACAGGTGTGCATGTGATTCATCATACACGTACTAGTAAGAAGGGCTCATTCCCGGAAACTCAGGAGTCTGTGGCTCTGGGGAGTCCATAGATGACACAGTTGGCATCTCTGAAACCCCATCCCATCTCCTGTCACCTGGCTATGAAGGAGGAAGCTGAAGAGCAGCTTGATCTCCTGCTTGCATACTATCCCGGGTCTGTGCCTTGGAAATAGAATCCCATGAGTCCACACAGGAAGTCTTCCAACACTAGACATGGTGGCACAAATGGCTTTCACATTAGGAGGCAGGAGAGGTCAGTTCATCAGTATGCCCCATTTCTGCAATGGGTTGATGCTTTCCAAGAGGGACATAATTACCACAGGAACTCAAGGGAATGAGGAGCGAGGGAAGGCGACACTCAGCCTCTGCACAAGGGGCACTTCTGGATTGTAGTGGTAACATAAGGACATTTAGCTTGCATCCGTTCCTACTGTGTGGAAGATCTGTCCTAAGAGAATTAGTGGCAGGACCTCAGTACTTCCTCTCAAGCCCTCAGCAGCTGATAGAGCACTGCCCCATTCTATAGTTAGCCTGAAGAAGCCATGCCCACAGTGAGGCCATATGCCTGGTCCCAGGAACAGTTGAGGAAGTTTAGCGGAAACAAGTATGGGAAAAGAAGATGCTAGCCCTTGATGGGGTTCTTGGGCCTCAGTGGATGACAGTTATAATTATAGTAAGTGTGACAGCACACTATCACTGTCTCTGTTAGTGTCCTTGTTTTCTCTTCTGATGCTGTGATAAAAGACTCAGACAAGAGCAACTTAGAGTAGGAAGGGTTTCTTTCGGCTTACAGCTCCAAGTTAGAGACCATCGTCAAAGACAAGCTGAGGCAGCAGAAACTTGAAGCAGGGAACTGAGAATGCAGAAAGAGCAAATGCATGCGTGCTTACACTCGGCTGGCTCTATGCCTTTTATACATTAGAAGACCCAAGTGTAGGGAATGGTACCACCCATTCTTAAGGTTGGTCTCCCTCACCTCAATCAACACAATCAAGACAAATTCCCACAGGCCAACCTGGTCTAGACAACACTTCACTGAGTCGCTTCCCTGGAAACTATAGACTGGGTCATGTTGACAATCATCACTGATCATCGGCAGGAGACTGAAAGGGATGCCACATTCATCATGAAGATGCCTTTCAACTGGGCTTCAGAGGAGTCTTAACAACTGTAGCTGTTAGGCAGGGAAGATCTGCCTCACACACAGGCCTGAGGCATGCTCTCAGAGGTGGAGGATCAGCAGCGTGAAGAGGCAGAGAACACTTTGTCTCCTGTGGCCACCAGTAAGCAAACTCACGTGTGGCCACGTGGGCACAGGACATCTGCAGAGAGCCGTGAGCAACTGAGAGATCGTTGGCTGAAAGACAAGAAGCGCTGTATCAAGTGAGGTAACCCGGGCTCAGAACGACACCGGTGTCGCTTCTCAACTCTCGATGTGCATATCGATGTGGGAGGGAGAGAACTGGGAGCCAAGAAGCCAGGGAAGGGTCCATGGGGGGAGGGGGAATGACTTGCAGCCAAAACTACCCTATATTTAAATCTCTGTCAAAGTTACCGACTCTGTATTTAAAGCCTAAAATGTCCTGATTGACTGGATTAGCATCTGAATTCATGAGGAATCTTAAATTCCTGCTTATGCTTGCTTGCAGGCATAGCTCCTCTGCTGATTTGGGATGGTACTGAAAGTGTTGGGGCTGTCTGCTTTGTTGTGTTGTGTTGTTTTTCTTCTTTTTTCCTGTTTCTATACATTTATTGATTTCCATTGAGCTACATTTTTATTTTGTTATCTTTCATCTTTCATTTGTTCTCACTATGTGGCACTAAGTCTTCCAATAAACATAATGTATTTTTTAAATATTAACCATTTTTAGAAAGGCAAAAAGATCCCAGGAAAAGAGTCAGCTATGAAATTTGTAACAGGTGTATATGTATTGTTTGGTCAATCACTCAAGCCCTCAGTGCTGAGTGTGAGTGTGTGTGTGTGTGTGTGTGTGTGTGTGTGTGTGTGTGTGTGTGTGTATAAATTAGTGTGTGTGAGTCAGTGAGAGTGTTGTGTGTATGTGTGAGTGCGTGTATGTGTGCATGAGTGTACTTCTGTGTGTTTGTGTGTGTGTGTGTGTGTGATCTCACTAGACAAATTTCAGTTCAAGGCTGCTAGGACTGAACTGTGTTCCTTCAAATTCTTGTGTTGAGGTCCTTCCTGCTCCCTGCATGTACGCATAGTAACAAGATAATTCAGGTTAAATGTGACTATGAATGTAGGTCCCAGAGCCCATAGGATCAATGCCTTGTCCTTTTAACAGATGTCAGAGATCAATCTTTGTCTTTCCACAGTGACAGCAAGCAAAGAGAAGCCCACAAGCCGGGAAGAGGAGCTGACCAGAAGCCAGCCACTGCAGTTCTGTGATCTCGGGCTTCCCAGCCTCCAGACATGTAAGCAGCAAGAGTCTATAAGCTGACCCCACCCCCACCCCAGACTGTGGTCCTTATTATAGCTCTGAGATAATTAAAGCAGGAATAGAAGAAGGAGGCGGGGCCCAATCCAGGAGGGTGTGGATGACTTAAGAACAAATAAAAGGCTTAGGGGAAGGTATGGGGGCAGGGGAAACAGCAGTGAAGACCTCAGACAGAGGTAACCTGCTCTCCGGGGGAGACACGGCACACACAGGAGGACTCTAGAAATAGCTGGTGTGAGATAGCCCATCTCTCGGTGTATCCCATCATCCAACCAAGGTGGGCCTGCCCAGAGTCACCGCACAAGCCTGCTTCTTGCAGCATCTGGCACGTGTCCCATCTCCTCACCCCCAGGGGTTGACTGCTCCTTTGGACAGCATTACCAGTTGTGACAGTGTATCTAGTCTATGTGGCCCGTCCGGTGTCTTTTCCACAAAGCCATTCAAAGGGTTGATTCCGTGAGGCCCCCATACTTGCTTAGGAGGGGGTCTCCACTCTTGGTATTTGTGTGGCCTGTGGCAGGTGCTGATCATATCAGCTCCAAGCTTAAGACTGTTTGTCTCAATTCTCCAAGTCTCTCAAAGGCCTCCAGGAGCTGTATTATTCGCCTTTGAGTTACCAGTCACTGGCCTGGTCTCTGCCACAGAGAGACAGTTACTTACATTTATTGAATGATGAGGAAGTAAAGGGAGGGGGAAGTGGGGAGACAGAACCCTACACTAGGCTCTTCTCACTCTAAAATCATTCCCTGGAAAAATAGAAGAGCAAAACCCAAAAGGATTCGGTTAGAATTATTTCCAAAATCTAAAGTCATAATATGAAATAAGGAGCCAAGTAGAGTTACAGCTTTTGCTTTATGCCTTTTCGTGGTACAAAGAATTCGAAAGACTTTACTGACTGATGGATTTCTGATTGTTTTTCATCTCCGTATCTACTCAGAATTTCCTGCCTACTGGAACTTGCAATTTCAAACAGGAAGGCGAGATGCTTAATAACTTAATTAGAGGTAGGTTGGGCCTGTGAGATAGCTCAAAGGTGCTTGCTGCCCAAGCCTGAAGACCTGAGTTTGATCTCTGGAACCCATGGTAGAAGAAGGGAACCAACTCCTACCAGTGGTCCTCTGAGATCCACATGGGCACTGTGGACACACGTGCACTCCCACTCACACACAGCTACATTAAAAATACATAAAATTTTAAAAATTGGGAATAGGAGATAGAGACGTGGTTTGGGGTTAGCTGGTGACCTTGACCATCTTATTGGACTTTCCCATTGACTTCCCACCTATGGAATGAGAGAATGAGTCTTTTGACCTCCACAAAAGTCTTATTGTGAAAGCATTTTACAAATGCCAAAAGGACCCTCAAGCGTGATGGCAGCATCTTTATCCCTGAATTTAGTAATCAAGAGATGGAAACCACACAGAGGAATGACCGGAACTTTTCCTGGGTTCCTCACTGTGGAATCCTATGAGCGAAGCAGGAGTGGGCCTCAGCAAGGGTCTGAGAAGTGGACAGGGACAGTGTGGGTGTCTGGGTGAATAGGCCATGATGCGGTCCAAGTCACAGAGGGAGAAGCCTGAAAACAAAGGCTGACGGAGATAGGGTGCTCAATGCTGTCTCTCACTCACTCGGTTTTCCAACAAGCCCGACAGCTTTTGCAGATTCCAACCTCTACAGTGTCACGACATGGGCCAGGGAATGGTTTTTCTTACCAGTTCCTTCTGGTGACATTCCATAGGCTGAAACCTTACCAAGCGCATTCTGTCCGGTCCATTCATTGTGAGAATCAGTACTTACATACTTGGGGAATATATGTTTGGCTTCTGTCGCTCTGGTCTCTGTATTCTAGCTGCAGTAAAGACAAGCTGGGTGAAGAACCCAGTATCTTCAAAGTCCCTTCTACTTGAGTCCCTTCCCAAGCAACATGAACAAAACTGAGTTCTGCCTGTTCATTTGAGATGATTCTAGACAGATATAGCACATCAACCCGCTACAACAGTTTCTATTTCTGAAAAGTGCTTTATTCCAATTCTTTAGGTTGGCAATGTCTTTGAAATCCTGGGCTCCAGTCTCTGCAGAGCAATGAAGACTGCATACATCCCCAGAAGTGGCCAGGCTCTCTCCAGAACTTCTCAAAGAACTTTTCTCATGCTGTCCGTGTGCAGCCAAGCTCAGCAGCAGGTAGCCCTTTCTGGATCCTTCCACTTCAGATTTGATTTGAATGTTTTCCATTCTTCAGTGAATTAGTTATACCAGAATGAGAATGAAAATATCACCCCAAGCCCAGACAAAGGTCAGAAGAAGCCAAAGGCATGAAACAGAATCCAAGATAAAGATGTAAAGATCTAGTATCTCTACCTGGAAATAAGACAATGGAAGTGCTTGGGAAGAAGAGGCTGTGAGACGATGCTCTGCTGTGCTCCTGGCCAGCTCTGGCCTCTTGGATGGAAAGGCAGGAGCAGAGGTGAAGAGCATTCTGGCTTTTCTTAAGGGCTGACAATGGAGGAAGAGAACCTCTCCAGGTCATGGGCTCTCTCGAGGGTAGAGACATGGTGCCATTATCAGGAGGATGTTGTAGCAGGCGTCTTCCTTCAAGGCTATCCCCTAAGGCAGGGATCCAGGGAGGGCACTGGAGTGGGTGATGCTGTGACTCATTCCTCCGTCCTGATCTCCCCACTTCCCAGCCCCATCCTCCGACCCATTCTTTCTCCTTCCCAGGCCCTGAGCAAAGAGCAGGGTACTTCCTCTTCTACTCTTTGTGAGTCCTTTCATTGTCTTCTCTCTTCACTTTTCTGCGAGTGAGTGGCTCTCCCCACATTCCTGAACTCTTGTGTGACACCTGTGCATTGGGTTGAGTCCAGTGGCATTTATCATCCAAACTGGGAACAGACTCTGTTACCACATTCCAGAGAAACTGGCACCACCAAAGACTCTCCAGAGGACAAATTACTGCAAGTTACAAAAACTCAATGTAAGTAGCTTGAGTGGAGGGAAATGAGTGTATGTCACGTGCTGTTGGTTCACAATGAGTTGGGGTTCAGTCACCCTAGTATTCTATATCAGTAAACTCCTTGCTTCTTTCCTTTGCCTCTGTTCCCCCTCCTCTCTGATTAGCTACAGACATCCTCCCTGCAGGGAAAAGGGCTGATTCATCACCCTAAACCCAGCTTCTCCTCTTTTATAGTAAAATATCCTGAAATGAACACTGGTTGTCTCAACTCACAGGCATATGCATCAGTCAGAAGGAGATTCTTCTGTTTGGAGTCTTAACTGTGAATCTGTAGAATGAAGAATTTCAAAGTAAGAGTCAGTACACAACACAGACTTAATAAACTGGGTTGGAGGTGAAGTTCTGAAAGGTGACTCTAGGAAAAGAGAAGTAAAACAGCCATTCCATACACATTCCTGGGAATTCAAAGGAGACTTCCTACCCTACATCCCCCCTTTTACAGATGAAGAAACCAGGGCTCAGAGTGGTTGGGCATCTTGCCCAAGGTTGTAGGGATGATGAATGGAGCATCCCAAGTCTGTCTGACTTGAGGCCTTCACAGATCATTTTTCTTTCTTTGCTCTGTGCTAGACCTAGAGGGCAAGACATAATTAGTCCTTAATGGAGGCTGACTCTGTCTTCAGTCAACAGAAAAGCAACCCCGAGTAGGACCAGGGAGATGAGATGGCTCAGTTGATAAACTGCTTCCTGAACCAGCCTGAGGACATGGGTTCGAGCCTCAGAGTGCACATGAGAAGACAGGCTAAGGGGCTTGCTTCTGTGATCTCAGGACTGGAGAGGCAAAGACAGGCAGATGCCTGGAGCTCACTGACCAACCAGATCAATGAACTCCGGTCCAGTGAGAGACCCCATATCAAAAGAGAAGGGAGAGAGCCACTGAAGAGAGCACTTAATAGCCAGTGTTGATCTCTGTGCATAACACACACACACACACACACACACACACACACATACTCCAGTAACCCAGACTGGCAAGAAAAAAGTAATCTATGGGCCACATGACCCATCTGTGGGTAGTTCAAGGTTACAGATGGAGTCAAAGATAGAGAGAGTTCCATCAGCATGCCCTCTAATTTTCCTGGTTTCCACGCCATACCCTTGTCTGCATGTGGCTGAAAGAAGGCCACCAACAGCCCTGGGCTCAGGAGCCCTCAGCTCCCTCCTTCTCATTTACATACCCCTGTGCACCCTTGATCAGCTCTATCTATCAGTTCTGTTTTTGAACCTCAAAAGCAGGTTCAGAAGGGGCCACTCAGAATCCCATGTCCACAAGCAGCCAGTTGGATGAGGACATGAGGATCTGCAATTGGTCCAACTCCAGCCAAATGCCCATGCTAGCCAATCACTGTGGCTGGAGTAACAAGACCTGGGAAGATAGTAGATGCTTCTATCAAACTTAAAAAGGAGATAAACAGGACTTACAGGGTGTCCAGTATTGCTTCTCTGTGCAATTATCTCACAGGTAGTGGTCTTGCTTTCAAACTATTTTATACAGAGTCTTCTCATGACATATCCTTTGTAACTCTGAATTAAGAGGCTTTTTTTTTTAAGGTAAGGAAGCAGTTACTACTCTCCAACTTCAACAAGAGCAGCAGGACTAGACTTTGCTTTGCCATACATCCCAAAATTTACAGTTGTTCTGTACACTTTGATCTCTCACGGAGACTTTGGATCCATCCCTAACAATTCAGACCCAGGAGACAGGGCAACAGATATTTGACATGGCAGCTGTGGTGATTTGAATAAAAATGGTCCTCATAGGCTCATCTATTTGAATGCTTGTCATCAGGGAGTGGCGCTGCCTGAAGGATTAGGAGGTGTGGCCTTGTTAGAGTAGTGGTGGCCTTGCTGGACGAAGTGTATCACTAGGGTGTAGCTGGAAGCATCTCTCCCATCCATGTTCCTCAGCTGCTTGGTCCCAAGTAAATACACAGAGGCTTATATTATTTACAAACTGAGTGGTCTATGGGTCAGGCATCTTGTTAGCTAGCTCTTATAACTTAACCTGTTTCTATTAATCTATATGCTACCACATGACCGTGGCATAACTGGTGTGCTGACATCATGTTTCTCCTTGGATGGTAGGCTGGTGTCTCCCCCAACTCCATCCTTCTTTGTCTTGTCTTCATTTTGAATGTACCCCCAACCGATCGTGCCCTGCCACAGGCCAATGCAGCTTTATTTATCAACCAATCACAGCAACACATATTCACAGCTTACAGAAAGACATCCCACAGCAATAGGGATAGGCTTTGAAGTTTCAGGTGCTCAAGTCAGAACCAGTGGCTCTCCCTCTCCCTGCTGCCTGTGAATCTGGATGCTGAACTCTCAGCTCCTTCTCTAGCACCATGTCTGCCTGTGTGCACCATGCTCCCCGCCATGATGATAATGAACTAAACCTGTAAAGCTGTAAGCAAGCCCCAACTAAATCCTTTTTTTCATAAGCGTTTCCATGGTCATGGTGTCTCTTCATAACAATAAAACACAAAGACAGCAGCCGTGGTCGAAACGCTGGCTATGGCTTTAAACAATGCATGGCAATAATCTCTCTGCAGTATAAACTAAGGATGGTAGGGCTTTGGTTTTGGGGGAGGGTTGCTTGTTTGTTTGTTTGTTTGTTTGTCTGTTTCTCTCATGGAATTCATTCCCACTTCGCTCCTTTGCCCAGCCCAGCTTTCTGGTATTCATTGCCTCAGAGGCAGAGGATTTTAAGGCAAAAATAAACTATGCTGTTTGCACCGCTCTTGCTTCTTTCTTCCAAAAGCCATATCCCTAGAGGCACAATGAGCTAGAGGCAAGGGAAGGAAGGGTTGAAGAAGTTGCAAGTTTCCCCTTCTTGCCTCCGAACCTCAGCCAAGGGGAGAGGGAAGGTATGAGGCAGAGAAGAAGACAGGCATTGGTGAATCTGAACGAAGGGGACTGTGACATCCGCCCCCACACAGGATTCTTGACTCAGAGTGGAGCCAGCACAAGTCCATTTCCTACACGGAGCCCCAGGGGAATAACTAAGTTCCAGGAGTGGCCCAGAAGACCCTGGTCGCCCTCAGCCTCTCAGGTTCCCTACACCTGCCTGATCTCAGAAAGAACCCTTAAAGCTGAGTGGAGCAGACTAGAAAGCCAGACTCCTGGAACATAGGCAAATCTGGAAAAGCAGCCAGCTGGACTCTGTGCTGCCTGAGGCTAATCTAGCCAAAGAAGAAATTAAAATAAACTCTGGTCCCTGTCCATGTGACTCCATACAGTAAGCTGTGTGCTTACTGCTCACTCTGTCCCTGCTGCTCCACACCCCACTGAGGTGGAAGACTTGACCATGGACCTGGTTACACTTCCCACTCACTGCAGGTCAGGAGCTGGGTTTCATGGATACCACATATTCTACTAACAAGGTGACATTAAGTCTCCTATAACCTTCATGAAGGCCTAAATGTGACTTTGCTGTCAAGAAGCTCTCATTTATTTATCACCCACTAACCATCATCAAACTAACAGCAAGCTTGATTGACATATCTATGGGATGTGTCTACCTGGTGAAAACCATACTACAGCCCTTCATCCTTAATCCCCCAATATCTGTGCTTTGCTTGGGGCCCAGTAGAGGACACTGGACCCCACAGCTTCCTGCCATGTTACCAGTAAGGGTGTTTCAAGGCTCTCCCCCACTCCTCCCCCCAACCCTGCGTGCCCTCCCACAGACACCCTCCACGGCCCTCCCCAGAGTTCCCACCACAACTGGCGCTTCCCTGTGTGTCCCTGCTTGATGCTGTAATGAACTTCTCAGGAGATCCCAGTCCTAAATCCTGGGTCTTTACTCAGCTACCATTTGCCCAGCTTTAATGTGGAAAGACCCACAAAAATCCTGCAGGTACAGCTCTCACCCAATTGGGCTCTCCTGTGAAGCCCAGCTATTGCATGTAAACTCACATGGTTACGGGCAGAATTCAGACCCTTGTATCTGAAGGAGTGAGGCTCCTTGTTTGCTCCCTTCCTGTCAACAGGGAAACCCACTTGGGTAGCAGACTACTCTTAGATCTCAGTGAGTCCATGAGTCCCCTCCACAGCCAGGGTTCAAGGTGGCTCTGTTTTCTTCAAGGCCAACAGTGTCTGCCTCTGTCAGGGCTTCCCAGTCACATCAGGATAGCCAGGATGCTTTCTCTTTTTAGACTCAGAGACCATCAACGGAACACTTTGGCGGTATCTATAGCAAATACATATATCCGGAACACAATTCAGACAGTCTCTGGGCTGGCTCTAATGGCTTGAGGCACAGCTCCTCTACTTTATAGTAGAGTAAATGCAACATGCACTCAGTAGATGCTGCACTTCCCCTGGCATGTCTACTCGTGGGGGTTATGCACTCTTGCATAGTCACTGGCATGTGAGAGTAAGTGCGTGCACACTCGTGAATGCCAGGGTTTGGTGTCTGCTGTCTACTTCAGCTGCTCTCCACTTTATTTACAGAGCCAGGGTCTCCCAGACTGACAGATCTGGCTAGACATCTTGCCCAGGGGGTCATCTGTCTCTGCCATCTGAGCACTGGGATTGCAGGCGGCCTGCCACACCTGCCCAGCTTTTATGTGGGTGCCAGGGATCCACAAGCACCTTAGCAACCAAGTCTTCCTTAATTTTGAATTTGATCTCCTAGAACTAACTGTGCATGGTACATTCTTCCCTCACAATACCCAACTGTAAAGTGACATTCTGTCCCTAGCCAGCTTCAGAGGAGCCCAGTGGAGTTGCAAGGTGAACATGGCAAACATAGCTTGACTTAAAATATTTTCCACAGTCAGTGCGTTGACCAGGACGTGCTGAACACCTGCATAATCAAAAGAGTGCCATCCCACACCTTCAGCAGTCTCGTTACGGAATGGGAGGCGCTACAAAGACATTAAGCATCAAGGTCATTAAGCATCAAGGTCAAGAAGCCTGGGGTTGGGGGGCGGGGTAGGGGCATCATTGACTTCTGCTTGCAAGTAGGTCTCACTCCTTTGGTTCACAGAATGACTCTATGAGGCAGGGAGTATGTTAAATTCCAGTTTCAGGTATTTTAAGGAACTAGAGTAGAAGCTGTAACTTCAGAAAGATTTAGGGCTCCATTCAGTGCTATGTATCTGACTGGACACCAGGCACTCATGTGCCAGACACCATGTTGGGTCACTATAAAGCTATTGAGCACCAGGATTTAACAGACAGCTACATAAAAATGAGTCAGTCTCAACTCATCTCCATGCATCATCTCTTTGGGACAAAAACCTATGCGAGAAAGGAGTTCATTCCCATTGGCCCTCAATTTACAGGTGTGTAAATTGAGGCTGGAAAAGTTCAGATGATGGTCTCCAAGTGCTGTAACTTCTGAACTCAGAGCTCTTGACCTCCATGGATCACAACACTGATTGATACAATACCTGCCTCTCAATAAGAAGATTCTTGCCTTTTAAAAGATACTAGGAGCACAGAAAAGTGTGGGTATGCAGAGCACATGTCGGGCTACAAAAGCCAAAGATGGTGCTGAGAGGAAGTGAGCTGGGCAGGGACCTAACTTGTTTACCAAAAATTGTGATTGGATCAGGAGAGATGATGTAGGTGCATGGCCTCCTTGTGATCATCATGCCTAGCTATGCCTGGAGAGTCTCGTGGATACATGACTTTTGTTGTGATTGGTAGAAGGAAAGCTGGCTTGTGGTTTGGTGCTTTATAAAGAGTGTGCTGATGCTTAATAAATGAGTTCCTGCTTGACATGGCTCCCCACTGCGTCCGATTGTCTCCAGGTACCGGGAGGCTGGGTGACAGGCCAGTCAAGGTCTGCTGCGGGCTGTGGCCCTAATTCTTCGGTGGGGTCAGAGGAACCCCACAAAAAAGGGGTGTTGTACCTTACCCAGTTGGACTACTATAAAGAATGCCATATACTGGGTCACTTAAAAAAAAAAAGAAAGAATGAATGAAATTCTCATAGTCCTGGAGGCTAGGAGGTCCAAGGTCAAGCAGACAGATTGGATGTCTGGTAAAGGCCTCCTGCTGTTGCCCTCCTGTAGTAGAAGGAGCAGGCAGTTCTCCAGGGCCTCTTACAAGGAAGGACACTCATCCTATACCGAATGTCTCTGCTGGCATTACCTCATCGCCTCCTGAAGATTCCATCTCCTAATGCTACTGTGTGGGGTTGGGATTTCAACACAGGAAACGGCGGGAGACACGACCTCTGCAGGCCATAGTAGGAAGCATCCTACTAGAATTGATAACCATATGGTACCGGGGTGGGGGTGGGGCTGCCTCCTTACTCAACAGTAGGATCTCTAGAGTGAAGATAAGTTGCAAAAGAGAGCAGAGTACATGCAGACATGATGGCTGGAGGCTGCCTGCCCAGGAGATACACACTCTCTCTTTATTCTGCCTCACTTTAAGGAGACATTTCCTGACTCCTCTGAGTACCTACTTATAGCTCTAAAAGTAAGGTGGAGTACTGAGCAGGACAGGCCATATGCTAGGAGAAACAGTGTGGAATGAGCACTTTTTCCAAGGAGTTCACAGACTCCTCCTGAGGAGCACTCTTAGCACTTCACTTGTCAGGGGCCACTTGAGCACATCTGGAGATGTGTTTGGTTGATACCTCTGTGGCACTGACACCACTGATGAGCCTCAGGTAGAAACCAGAGATGCAGATGCATCTTCCAATGCATAGGAACAGCATCTGTGTTAAAGATCCAGCCAAAGCCTTTCATGAACCCCCTACTTACGCACATGTGGGAAATCTTGCCCCATGAAGTTATAATCTCAAGAAGTGGTAAAGCCTTTGGTAGGTAGTTAGGCCTTGAAGATGGCATCTTGGTGAGTGAAATTCAGACTCTTATATCCTATTTAGTTGTAAATGTCACTTTGATACAGTTTAGAGTCATCCGATAAGGTAATCTCAATTGAGCAATTGCCCAGATCAGATTAGCCTATGAACTTGTCTGTGGGAAATTGTCATAATTATTCATTGATAAAAGAGGACCTAGCCCACAGTGGGCAGCACTATACCTAGGTAGGTAGCTCTGGGCTATGTAAGAGAGCTAGCTGAGCACTAGCTTGTGAGTGAGTGAGCTAGCAAGAAGCATTCTGCCATGGTTTCTAGTTCAAGTTCTTGCCTTGTGTTCTAGCCCTGACTTCCCTCAGTGCTAGACCGTGACCTGTAGGATGAAATAAACATTTTTCTCCCTGTAAGTTGCTTTTGGTCAGAGTGTTTTTATCACGGTGAAAGACTGAAACTTGGAGACCATACAAGAAGACACACAAGCCAGGTGTGGTGGCGCATGCCTGTAATTCCAGCACTCAGGCTGCTGAGCCAGAAGGATCAGGGGTTTGAGACAAGCCTGGTCTACATAGACAGGGCCTGTCTCAAGTAAGAAAACAAATAACAAAAATACAAGGTGTTGCTGTCTCTGCTCTCCACCATGTAAGGGCACATTGACAACCATTGACAAACTAAAACGCAGTTCTCATCAGATATGACAGCACCTTGACTCCCAACCCCCAGAACTGTGTGGAGTACGTGTTTGCTGTCTAAGCCACCTGCTCTATGGTATATTTGTGACAGCAGCCCAGAAATAGGGAGATGCATCTCAAATGTCAATAGGGTTAAGTCTACTCAAGTCTACCCACACAGGTGTTCTGTGATGTCACATAGTGAGAGAGAGACTTTATTGTCAGTGTCAAGTCTTGGCCTCTTTGAGATAGGCCTACGGATATTTACCATCTTAAAATCAAACCCACCATCACTGGGCAGGTACTTCAAGAGATTGAGCCACCTGCCCAGCCATGAAGACTGTAAACAAATTCCATGACCAAGGTGTAAACATGTCGTGAGTGTAAGAGTACAGAAGTTTGGTCCTGTGATGACAAACACCTGCCAGTTTGCCATGGGCAGTCCTGTTGGCTCAGCGTGAGTCACACTGTCCTTGCCAGGGTGATGGCTGGAATGATTAATCCACCCTGTTGGGGCCTGGCCTCCCCAGGCTCTGTTCCCATCTGGGTCCCACCCTAGTCCTATCAGAGGACTCAGATAGCCTATGGAGGGCGGAGGTGGGCCCAGGACACAGTCTGCTCACAGTCTGGCCCACTCAAAGGTACAAAGCCCAACAAAACAAGAAACAGACAAGGTGCCCTGGGGAGGATAAGCTCGGCTGAGGCTCTGCATGGTGCCAACTTGCGTGGGCAAGTCTACCCTGAGAGTTGGCGGGGCCTTTACCCTTGGGCCTTCTGCCTGAGACAGTAAGCATACCAGGCTGCCATCCTACTGGGCCTCAGCGGCATTCCCACAGTCTGGGGATACACAGGTTCAGCCCTCCCCTCTCCCAAGTCTGCCTCTGTGACCCCTCTGTGGCACAAGTGTGCACCTGTAACAGCGAGGGTCCACACAGCCTGATGGGGATGCTGTGGGAAGGAATTATCCACCCGGGACTTCATCTTGACAACCAGTGACTTCACAGAACACAAGCAAGCAAAGCATGACTTCCTTTACTCAGGTTGAGTCTTGATGGAGCTTTCCTTGATGCTAGACTTTCACTGGCTTGGAGAATACACCAGTAAACAAAACAGATGTTTTTCCTACGGTCTTGGAACTCATATTCTGAGATCCTTGAGTCGCTAGTCCAACGAGTTACTGATTATTTACTAGGCTTGAAAGGTTTGGTTTTACTTTGTTTTCAGTCATTATTTAAACATTATAACATATTTCCAAACTGAGAGCTATTATCCTGTGTAACTAAAAAGGAAAGAGGAGGTTTGAGGGAGATCAAGAGACCACCCCGCCATGGTCATCAGAAGAGTGGGGACCTGGACCTAGGCCTACAATTCCTTCCTCCAAGTCCTGCTTCCGTTTCCGATTCTAAGCCCTTCTCTGTTCTTCTTCCAGGTGGAGTCAGTTTCTTTTGTGGGGTGGCAGTGAAGAGGCTAGCTGGGGATCAGGAGACCACTGTCTATGTGGACCTCGTATGTCCCTGATGACACTCCTTCCTATGTCATTCTCTTACGCATGCCCAGGCACTGTATGATCCTACTGTGCCACCTGCTGCCTTGTGGTGGTTGGTAGGATGAACCACTGGAGTACCATACACAGTCTCTTCAAGAGATGACCCATGTATAAGTGCTTGAGACACAAGATCATGGTGATATCCATATGGATAGATGCAGATAAGGTCATCCAGATGCTCAGGTAGGATGGCGATTCATGGTGCTGTCAATGTGGGCTTAGTGATTGGTCCCTAAATCTGGGTGTGTAGCAGAAAGTAATGAGAAGATCTGGTTATCAGGACAATGAGCACAGTGTTCTTTCTACCTCCCAAACTCTCACTAGTTTATTCTGTGGACCAAGAAAACAAAAACCAAGTCTTTTAGGGCAATCAAGGTACTTGCCCCCAGAGCACCTGTGTTCACCAGGGTCAGTCAGATTTAGCTATAAAAAAAAAAAACTTCCCTGCAACAAGAAAGGCCCTATTCCTTATTGTGGAATCATAAAAACACAGACAGGTTTATGGAGGCAATTACCAGGTGGACTGGTGAAGTTGATAGATAGCAAGGCAAGACCCCCTTACAAAGAACCCTGACCACTCTCTGAAGACAGACCAAGCTCCTGGAGACTCTCAAGATGCTGGCTCCTCCACTGAAAACATGCCATCAAAGGGCAGGGTGTGTCAGGAGCAGGAAAAAGCATGAAGCATTCCCAGCTTTGTATCACAGCCCGTGGCATGCTCACACAGGGACACAGGATGACACGCAGCAGCTGGGCTTACTGTCTGGCCTGGCTCAGGACTCACTCCTTGCCCACACCTGCCTAATCCTCCTGCCTTGCCAAATGGACAAGCCCTCCTCTGAGTTTCTCGGGATTATCTAAGTCCAAGCAAGAGCAAAGAATCAAAGCTTACAAAAGGCAAAACTCCCCTACCTCAGTCGACACTAATATTTTCATTCTGAACACTCAGGATAGAGTATCTGCCTGCCTCTTCAGCTGAACGATTTTATCAAAACCTATCCCTACTCAATCCCAGATGATCTTTCACCCAGCTTGCAGAGCAGACCTGGAAATACTATTACAGGTAAATGTATGTGTGAATCCTGTGTGTTGGGTCTGTGGTTGTCAAGCCTAGACCACTACCCAGCTTGGTAAATAAAGTTTTATGGAAACACAGTCACTGTCATTCATGGATGTTTCATCTAAGACTGTGTGTGCACTACAGTGGTCATATTGAATAGTTGCAGCAGGTTGTATGACCTATGAAACTCTAAAATATTTACAATCCTAGTCCTTAAAGGGAAGGCTAGCCAATCTTTCTTCTGTGAAACATCACAGGGAAACTTTTTTCATTGACTCATTCACCTATTCATTCTACCATGTTGCTAGATGGTTTCTCAACAGACTATGCATAAGGAACAGACCCAGTCTTATCTGTCTTGGGATGATCAAGGCAGAACCCCATATCCAATAAGGTCTTGAGAAATGTTTGTTGGGTGAGTAAATGAAGAAATACAGTAATTTGGAAATCCCTACCATTGTGGATATTAGTGTGGTAGGACCAAGATTGAAATGGAATTTGAAAAAGGCTTACCATGTTCGTGGAAATGCTTTCCAGGGGAGATGGCCTCTAAGCCTGGGCTGAGAAAGTGGATGAGCAGAGTGTTGAATAATGTTGACCTAGAGTTTCGAAGTCTGTGGTCCAGGGGACCTAAGATGAGGATGAATGAGGCTGAAAGGAGCCCAGATCTGC